AGAGTTGAAGGGCTGCACGAGAAGGGAGGGGGGATCAGGATGGCTCTGCCTCCAGAGCGGGGGGGGGGCTGGGCGGCCTCTAAGGGCGGGGCGATTTCTGCCTGTTTGTTCCGGGGGACAACAGTCGCTGGCAACCTCTGACCTCCAGCAGCCTTTCCTCTGGCAGTTTCCACTTCGCTTTTCGTCCAGAAGTCCCGAGTTTTGTCCAGTGCGACTTGTCTGGATATGGCTGGAAGCATCCGAGGTAACGTCTTGGGGTCTGGGGGACGGGGTGGGGTGGGAGCGGCTGTGCTTGGCGGAGGGACAGCCGATGACCTTATACTGCTGACCGGGTCCCCTTCTTCCCTCCTCTCCCCTTTCGGATGTAGGGCCCGAACGGAGGATCGTCCTCGTTGGCAAAACCGGGAACGGGAAAAGTGCCACGGGAAACACAATTCTGGGAAGCAGCCTCTTTGCATCTAAGGCATCGTTTGTTTCAGTAACCAGCAGCTGCCAAAAAGAGGAGGTGCAGTGGAACGGCAGGAAGGTTGTGGTCGTGGACACGCCTGGCTTTCTCGACACAGGGCGTCCAGAGCGTGAAACTGCCAATGAAGTGAGGAAGTGCGTGAGCTTCTGCTCCCCGGGTCCCCACGTTATTCTGCAGGTCGTCCGTCCCGGTCGTTTCACCCAGGAGGAGAAGGACGTGGCTCGGCTGATCAAAGAGATTTTCAGCCTTAAAGCCAAGGATTACATGATCATCTTATTCACCCGCAAAGAGGACCTGGAAGGTGGGTCTCTCGAGCAATTCATAAAGGAGGGAGATTCCTTTCTCAGGGAGCAAGTTTTCCGATGCGGGGGCCGGTACCTGGCTTTCAACAACAAGGCCGAAGGGGCGGAACAAGAGGCTCAGGTGGCCGAACTGATGGAGATGATCGATCAGCTGGTGGAAAAGAACAGCCGTGCTCCTTGCTACACGGAAGACATGCTGAAGGCAGACAAGGAGAACCTCAAGAAGCAAAAAAACTACGCCTGGCTGTGTCCTCTTTTCTAAGGGAGACCAGAAGGCCTCTCTGACTGAGCCTCTGCTCCAAGGCCACAGCCCCACATTTCCCCACTTTCGCTCTCTGTTCCAGTACGGCCCTCTCCTGGTGGCCTCCCAAGAACCTGAGTCAGAAATTCGTGGCCGAGTCCCACTGAGCCAATTCCTTCCCCTAAGAACTCTGGCTTCTCCCCTCGGATGACCGGACTTTCTTCAGGGGCGCGTGAAGACCCCGACTCTCCACTATCTGCTGGTGCCACAGCGTAATTCTCTACCAGCCTGGACACATGCCCCTTTGAAAGCACGCGCCCGTTTGGGCTTCCCCACCTGTCCACCCTCCGAGGTAGACCAGGCCAGGAAACCAGTGCCACAAGGAATAGTAGAGCTCTACCTTATTGATAGAGATTACAGGAACAGAATCTTGAAAGCATTTCCCCTTCGCTCCCTCTGGTACCAAAGAGACTCAAGGCGGGGCAGCCTTGAGGTTCTCTCACCCCTTCCTGTTCTCCTGGGCATCCCTAACAGCTGCCATGTATTTTCTGCAAGGCTGTCTCTGCACTCTTCTACACCACCTTCCAGTGGCCAACACATGGACTCACTAGGGGAGGGCATTTCTGTTTCTACCTGAGATCTTATTAAATCTCCTTTTTACAAAAGAGGCTGTGTGTTTTGAGCTTTGGGGAGACTGGTGAGGTGGCCCGCTCAGCCTAACCAGGTCCGTGATTCGATACGCTCAAAAGGCAGAGGAGGAGGGGGATATGCCCTGACTTTCCTGGAGGAGGGGGACGTGGAAATGAGTAGGAAATACTTGAGGGGTGGGCCAGACTTGGTGCGGCAGAATGCGGGGTCTCCCCCTGAGCTTTTCACACTGGGCCGGGAAAGGGGTCCTTCCAGATGGAGAGCAAGCTCCTGCTCGGTCCTTCCGGTCTCTCAG